CAACAGGACACAGCCATGACACGCACGCACACAAACACAAACACGATCGCATATGGTATGGTAAGCTGCCGTACAAGTGAGCCTACGTAAGGCCTGTACGTACAACACGACGCGGACCACGACCTGACACGGACCAGCCTACCTGAGGACGACACACCTTTACAGCGGCGGGCAGCGGCGTCCGGGTAACCTGCACGACTGGCAGCTGCGGCTGCTGCTGCGGCGCAAGCCTGACCACGGGTGAGATCATCGGTCGGATCATGCGTATCTGCGTGGGGGTGCCGACGCCGCCGGACACGGGCCGGACGGCCGTCTGTATCACGCCGCTGACCACTGGTGCCTGCTGCTGCTGGAAGACACATGCATGTACACACCGGTCAGTAATGTGTGTGCGTATGCGTGTGTGTGTGTGTGTGTGTGTGTGTGAGTGAGAGTGCGTGTGTGCGCGCGTGTGTGCGTGCGTGTGTGCGTGCGTGTTTGTGCGTGCAAGCGCGCATGTACATGCGCATGCGAGCGTGCGTGCGCGCATGTATATGCGCATGCGAGCGTGCGTGCACGCATGTATATGCGCATGCGAGCGTGCATGTTAATGCTAGCCCTGTATGCGTGTGTGGCATGCGTGCTGATCCTAACCCCCCCTTTCCTACATCGTACCTTGTTGATGTGCAGCATGGGTGGCGCTGGCCGCACGACGGCGGCGGCGGCAGCGGTAGCGGCGGTAGCGGGCGGCGGCTGAGTCACTGGAGCAGACGTCGTTGACGTTGTGATCAGCTGCAGACGCCCGTCCGGAAGCTTCATGAGTTGCGCCGACTGACCTGCAGGTGGCGACACGTGTGCATGCGTTACTCACTGCCATCTAGATTCTCGTCGCTGCTCGACGTGCAGCGCCCCCTACCTTGTTTTGACGTTTTGTTGACGTTTTGACGTTGAAATTTTCGTTGTTGTTCGACGTGCCCCCTACCTAAACCTCATGTTATATAGCGCCCCCTACCTAAACCTCATGTTATATAGCGCCCCCTACCTAAGCCCTGTGTTATACAGCGCCCCCTACCTGGCTGTAGGCCCTTGATGGCCAGTTGACCGCTGGGCAGCCTCGTGATCTGTATCTGCTGCTGATGCGGTGGCGCCGCCTGCTGGCCGATCACGATCGCCGGCCGCGGCTGACCGCCAGGTGTCACCACCGTCGTCGCCTTGCCCGTCACCGGCATTGGCTGGATCTTGCTGAGCGGATTTCCGAGGAAGTTACGCTTGATCGGGGCCAGCCCGGGAACCTGGCTGGAGATGGCGCCACTCGTGCCGATCTTCACGACTGCACGCGCAGACAAGAGAGCATGCGTTAGAATGCAGCTCGGTGGTGACAAATGCTGTGTTTTATCAACAATGTGGGAATTACGATGACAAGACATGAAGGCAGCATAACCTATAACACTAGCAGCAAGAACAGATGCACTGCAAAGCCAAATCGGAAAGTCTCCGCCGCCATATTGAGATCAGATAAGAGAGGGTATAAACAGCCCTTTTTATAACATGGGTAG